TAGTAGAAGGAAAGAACGAACTACTACAAGTTGTACCCTGACCTCCACATGTGTATCGTGGAGGTGCATAAGTGCGCACATGTGTGCACACACACAAATTTTTATAGATATTTTTAGAACTATTTTTATTTATGTGTTTGAGTGTATTGCCTACATGTATGTAAGTGCACCTGTATCATGCAATGCCCTCAGAGGTCAGAAGATTCCTCTGAAACTGGAGTTAGGAACAGTTGTTAGCTGTCATGTAGGTGCTGCAAATCAAAACTGGGTCCTCTGCAAGAGCAGCCAGTGCTCTTAATCCCTGAGCTATCTCTCCAGTCCCACACATAAATGTTTTTTAAAAGGTATCTGAGAAAGCAGGAGGAAGGTATGGTTAAAACAAACAGGGAAACTCAGGCTCTACTCAGGCTGTATAGAAATTTGAGAGTAGGCTACTGACAAAGGAATATTTATTTTAAAAATATACATGTGCTCATTTAAAGTACAAATCATCATTAAGTGGAAACAAGTTAAACAATTATCAATTAGTACAAAAGTTCTAAACATATTTACACGAACTAACTAGCTCTAAGTGGAATAATGTGTAATTATAATAGATTAAAAATCTTGCAAATCATGTCTTTGAGTGAAAATATTTACATATATAGAAATTATAATCCCCACCACAAGTAAGAGCTGCATGCTTTCAAAACTATTTAAAATAATACTTCTGTGGCAGACATTTTTAACTCCAGTAAAATTTATGAAATATTAAAGCTATCTATTAAAAATATATGGCTCAAATTTTATATTTTGGAAGTAGTCTCCCCATATCTGATCCCTACATGCCACCTTAGAAGGGCCCAAGACTATAGCAATCAAATATAGAAAACCACAGGACCTTCAACTGATACCTTGGGGAGATGGGAACCGAGAAAACTTGATCTAAAATTTGGTGGTGCCCCCAAAAAGAATGGATCCAGGAGGAGCCCTGCTTTCTCACCCCCCTCCACAGACTCCTACATGCACTGCCATCTCTCCAAGAGTTCAATGTGGTGACTATTCAGCTCCTTCTAGAAGGATCTGGGCTCTTCTAGATTTCCTGTGCAGTGTTGCTCTCTCCTTTTAGTGGCCTTAGAGTTGGCAAAAATTTCCTGCTGAAAGTGTGTGTCTCCCCTGGTGCAGGGATCTGGGAGGAAGAGGGAGACCATGTGAGACTTCACACATGCAGCTCTCTAAGCATGAAGACCAATTAACCCCTAAGGGAACCTTAACAAGAATTTAGAACAGGGGCTGGAGAGATGGCTCAGCGCTAAGAGCATGCACTGCGTTTGCAGAGGACCCTAGTTCAGTTCTCAGCACCCATGTCAGGTGGCTTGCAACCCTCTGTAACTTCAACTCCATGAGATCCAATGCCTTCTTCTGGCACCTGCATTCACATGCATTCATTCTCACATTCTCTCTCTCTCTCTCTCTCTCTCTCTCTCTCTCTCTCTCTCTGTGTGTGTGTGTGTGTGTCTCTCTCAGGAGAAAGTTTAGAAAGAAAGTTTAAAAGAAATTTTAGAACAACTTACATACCCAAACTTATCTATAACCCTTCTTTCTTTTCATTTATTTATGGGTTTTGTGGTGCTGGGGTTCAGACCCTAAGGATCATATATGATAGGTAAGTGCTTTACCACAAAGCTACCCTGGCTCTTGACTCTTCATTATTGTTTTTGCTGTTGTTGTTTTGAGTATTTTTTAAAAATTAAAACTGTATATATGTGTGGGTTTATGCACATGAGTGCCGTACCCAAAGAAGGCAGAAGAGGGCTCTGGATGCCCTGGAGATGGGAGATGTAGGCAATGGTGAGCTACCTAGCATGAGTACTGGGAACTTAATTGAGCTCTTCGGCAAGAACAGTGCACCATCTCTGAGCCATCTCTCTAGTCCTGTTGTTGTTTTGAGAATGGGACTCCTATGTAGCCCTAGTTGACCTTGAACTCACCTTGTAGATTAGATGGGCCTCAAACATTTAGTGATCCTCCTGCTTCTGCCTCCTGGATAACAAAAATGGCTTGTGCAACCACGCCGGGCTCACCCTTGATTTTTTTTTTATTTTGGTCTTTTTAGGCCAGGGTCTCCCTGTAGCTCCAGCTGACGTTCAGGTCTACATACTCACTATGTAGACCAGACTGGCCTCAATCTCACAGAGATCCACCCGCCTCTACCTTCTGAGGATAGGGTTAAAAGTATGCACCACCATACCTGACTTTTGACCCTTACTTCTTAACCCCAAACCTGAAGCACATGCAGAAGTGAGAGGACAGCTTACAGGAGTTGGTTCTCTCACCAAGTAGGTGCTGGGGATCGAACTCAGATCATCAGGTTTGGCAGCAAGCATCTTTACCCACTGAGCCATTCAGTCAGCCTTTCAGTTACTGTGTACAAGGTGTGTGTGTGTGTGTGTGTGTGTGTGTGTGTGTGTGCATGCATATGCATGTATGTATGTATGTATGTATGTATGTATGTATGTAAGTATGTATGTTTTACTAGGAATTAAGCCTAGGCTTCAAGTATTCTAATCAAGCTCTCTAACCACTGACATATGTCCCTAATGCAAGGGTTTGCCTTTTCATTTCTACATTTTTGTACCCCTGCTGTTACTTAAAATCTGAATTTTAGTGTTCTTCAGTGAAGAAACTACTAGGTTAGTAAAGCTCTTGCCTCACAAATATGAAGATCTGAGTTTGGATCCCCACGTAAAAAACCAGGCATAGTGGTACATGCCTGTAATCTCAGCAACAGCCAGGTGGGAGGGGAAACAGGTGGACCCTTGAAAATTCCCTGGCTAGCCTACATGGCAGAGTCCCAGTCCAATGAGACACCTTGTCTCAAACAAAAGGTGGAAGGGACCTGAGGAATGATACCTGAGTTTGTCCTCTGAGCTCCATGGGCACATACCCACAAACACATGCACCTACACACAAATGCATGCCATACACATACCCCCCACAAAAATATGCCACAAATATAACTCACATGTCAAAATCATGACCCAAGAGACCACAAGTCTAATTCCAAATTCCAACTCATGATGCCTTACCATAGTCCTTACTCCTTAAATTTTTATTTATTTATTTTTATTTTCTGTATATAAGTGTTTTGCCTGCATGTATGTAAGTGCACCATGTGCATGTAATGCACATGGAAGTCAGAAGAGGGCATCAGATGCCCTGATACTGGAGTTACAGACAGTTGTTAGCTGCCATATAGGTGCTGGGAACCAAACCAGAGTCCTCTGGAAGAGTAGCCAGTGCTCTTAACTGCTGAGCCAGCTCTCCAGCACCCATAATCCTTACACTGGACCTTGGCTTCTTACAGCCAATTAGAGAAGATCTTTGCTTATCATCTGCCCAACCCATAACGCTAATGAATGGATTATAAATAGCCACCTGAAGCTGGTTTTCCAGAACCTTCAAAGGTGATGTGGTTGGGATTTAAATGTCCAGCACAGGCTCTTATTTTGAACTCTGGTCCTCCACTTGGTGGTGAGGTTTTTGGAGGCTATGGAACTTTTAGAAGTTCTGGTTTGGCTGGTAGAAGTGGGTCACTAAGGGTCAGACTTTGTGGTTGGGCTTATGTGCACATGTATGTGCATGTGTGCATGTTTGTGTGCGTGTGCATGTGTGTGTATGAAAGCCAGAAGTATTCAGGCAGCATTAGATTTTTTTTT